TAAGACTTCTGATTTTATCAATTTTACATTAACTGAACCTTTATAGGCTTACTCTCCATACTACTCTTCTTATGGATACGGCTATCCTTCAACATACTCTTCTTATGGATATCCTTCATACGGATATGGCAACTACTACGGATATGGACTTGGATCATACGGATACTACGGAAAGAGAGAAGCTGGATTTGGACCTGCTGCACCAGCCAACTGATTCTCCTTCTTCCTTTCCCTGACTCTTTTTCACTTGCCCTGTACGAACCAATCGAACGAATAAATCTTTCGAGTAAAGAAATATGTCGGTGATCAGAACCAAAAAGTTCATTTGTGACAGTTGTATTGAATTGTGTGAGATTTTCATGAAACATTCAGAGTATAATAGATGAGCTCATACGGTAAAACTCTATTTAAAACTTTTGTTTTGCATGGACAAACCCTATCTGCGGAAATGAGAGAGAGAGAGAGTTGTTAAAGAAGAATTGCAAATGATACATTAAGTGGCTTTTACCATAAAACAAGACTTGTAAATGTCGAAACACGAGGGCAAACGTGTCATAAAAGTTGGTTTTCTTTTGAAAAAGTTGCTCAAAATCGCTACCGCCTTGTCTGATAAGATCTATTTTGAAGGTTTTACAAACGAGAGCGACTTGAGCCTGTCGCGTGTCATCAATCGTATCTGACTGTTCAATCTGTAAATTTCAAAAAAAGTGTCAAATATTTTAACATAAAAAAATGGTTTTGGAGTGTTGAGGATGTCGTTTGGAAAGTTTAAAACAAAAGAATTGTTTTCTTAGCAGAAAGCAATTAAAAAGAAGATTTGAGGCAAGAAAATGAGGAAGACATGTCGTCGAAGTACAGAAGAAGAAGAAGACACTTTGAATTGAAGAAGAATAATGATATGGACGGTGAAGAACAAAAAGAAAAAATTATTTGAAAGGTTGAAAAATGACAAGAAGACGACGATGAGGACATGTGAAGAAATTGAATGAACGTCATTAATTTCATTCCTTTTTGTTGGGTCAAAGCCTCTCCTCAACTAACTCGCATATGATTAATTTCATTTTTGAATTTATTACTTCACTACTTATAATATCATTTGTTCAGTGTGTATTCTTTCATTTTTCTTTTTAAACCGAGAAAACGAGCGTTTCGTACAATATTTCGAAACCGGAAATCGCTCGAATGCAACCGCTCTTGTGCGTCGTTCATATCAGAATGAAAATCTGTGGTTGACGCCGTCGGCAATCAGATGAGAAGCTGGTAATCCCTTTAATGAAAATTCAAATTCTTTTCTTTTCTTCTCTTTTTTTTTGAACAAAGAAATGTGACGAGAATAAGATGGATGAATGATCTTCAACTTTAGATTATTGACGAACAGTTTCAGAAAGACATTTAAGGTAAAAGGAACAAGGACAAGAATTGACAGATGTTCGGTAGGAAAGTTCAAAGAAAATTCATAGATGTTCTTTAAAAATTATCGTTTCTGAGGTTTATATGGGTATTCATCCGTTAGATTTGCCTCCTCATCTGGCGAACAATTCATCTTGTTTTATACTCATCAACCCTCTGTTCCATTTTTTTATCCCAAGAAGATGAGCCATAAATGGAAGTTCGAAAAACGAATGATACTTGAGTATTGAATGTTGTTTGCGGTTTTCATATAAGTATGAGCTCAGGAACACCTGTATCCATTTGTAAACGAGGAAAAGAGAAACGAAAGGGAATGAAAAAAAGATTTGTTCATAGCAGATTATAAGATTTGATGATTGTGACCTGATTGTTCGAACAATGTGCCAGTTGTCTCGCATCAATGAACTCGTAGGGCATCCTTCCATATCCACTTTCATGACCTACTTTTAAAGAATTTACATTCATCAGCTGTTGAGCGGACTCTGATTTTCATGGCCTCAGGGCTGTTCCTTCATTTAAATTTTTTGTGTTGTTTTTTTGGCTGACGTCTCCCTCATGTGGTCATCGGTCGTTTGATGACTATTTGAATGTAATAGAGCAAAACAAAAACCCCTATGTTTATCAAAATTAATAATCATCAAATGTAAAACTGTCAGTAACTATAAGCATATGGACAATTGTTAGATGAAAACATTGTCCAATAGTTATATAGTTTTCCGAAACTCAACCCCCTTCCCTCTCAATCTTTCAATAAAGTTGTCTTCATAATATAACTTTGATTTATAGTCATTCAAATCATATTTCCCTTTCATTTGAATTCCATTGCTTATCCTTCGACTCACCCTCCGACCCTTCTCTCTTTCTCTTCTTTCATCCTTTGTTAATGTTTATCTGTCATTTTTCACCAAAACGATAAGAATGGAAAAGACAAGGCAAAAGCTGACCCCCCTGATCTTCTTCTATTTCTGCTGACAGATAATGTTTTTCAAGAACTTCTCTCATAAACGCTTATAGACCACCTGCACGTTGACGAAACCGTTAGTTTGTTCCTCTTCAGTGAACATGAGCTTTCTTTATTGGAAATGTCTCTTCTGGACTCTTAATGTCTCTTTGATAGACTAGAGAACAGAAAGAGAATAAGAGAGAGAGAGGAGAAGAAAAATGAGGATTGAGGAAGATTTTACTGTATGATCTTTATAGTTTTCGTTGTTCTATTCTTCTGCGAACAACAGTAAGTCATTTAGTATTTGTCCTTCAACGAACATCTTCGGGAAGATACATTTCTTTGGAAGTTATGAGACTCATTCTCCATGAACATTTGCTTTTCTCTATAACATTATATTCGTCATCATCACTTCCTTCTCTTCTTTTTGTTGACGGTAATGATGCCTTGGATGGATTTCCTTTTTATATGCGCGTCTCACCTCTCTCTTTCTCTCATTACCGTTACCTTTTATGGTGTTTGTAAAATTATTGGTAAGTCAGATGGAAAGTACAATGTGTTTCTTCTGGCTTTTCTCATCTCAGCCGGCGGCTATGTCTAAACTTTTGAAATTTCGAAAACCATATCCGGCTTGCAATGACCCAGTCTCATGAGTTTGAGGTTGTATGAATGAAACTGAGAGATATTTGGAGAGAGGTAGAGAGAGAGATAGGCGGATAGCATATTCTCGTGTATTCTTTACCTCAGGGCATTATCATCCTATAGTGGCTGGTACTGGCTTATTCTAGTAAATGATGGGTATCCAGGTCAGTTCACCAGCTCAAACGGTCATAATCGGAGAGTCGAAAAGAGGGAGAACGGATCAGAGGGTCATTTTAATTCATCATTATTATCCATTTGTCCTCTGAAACAACTTAAGCCCAAAGTAGGTTTGTGGTTATTTTTGAATTGAGGATTGGCCACAAAAAATTGCACATATAAGATAGATGGAAAAACATTGTTTTGTTGTGAAATGACGCGTGCCGTCTATCATCAAGTTGTCTTTGGATATTTTGTGATTTAAATTGTCCGTAAGAAGAGGAAGAAGACCATCTAATGACTCTTTGTCGGGATAAATGAAGTTATAGAGGGTGTATAAACTGTATTGTTTGTGAGAGAACGGAGAGAAAAATAGTTAGAGAAGAGTAAAATTCTGACAGACTGTAGAGCCAGCCATGTGACAACACAAAGCTCCATCGTCCATCCCCATCCATTTATCTTTTGGCCATCCTCTCCACCTCCTCTCCAGTTGAACCCGCAGAATGCCTACAAAAACATTTCGTTTGAATTTCACAATGATAGAAGTTGAAGGGAGTAAAGACAAGAAAAGTTTTTTTTTCTTCTTTTGTCTCCCAGTGCACCTTCACTAACTATCTTATCAGCTTTTGCCAACTCTTCAACTCACCGCGGGTAGTTCGTACAGTCATTTCATCCAAAAAAGGCTATTTTCTTGAGAAAAATTCATGTTATTGACAACATAATGGTAAGGTAGAAATGTCAATTTATCGTCTTTTCAGTTCATTTTCTTTCATTTCATTGTATTTTCTATTTTAAGTCAATGTTCCTTCTTCCTTTCACGTTCACATCAATCTGTTGAGTGGATAATTACCATTTTCATACAAATTTCTCTCTTAGCCAAACATACTTTTTTTTCCCCGTTCCTGACCGTAAGAGACAAAAAAAATTTCTTTCATATCGATAGCTTCTTATCAAGCAGATGGCACAGATGAACTTTTTCATTAAACATAACTTTATCTCATATTTTTTTTCTTCTTCTTACAAAGACAGATACCATCTTATGGGGGAAAACTATTCAAAGTTGTTTCAACCTTGTCAATCGTCACCAATTTCACTAATTCAATTTGATTTGTCTCAACTTTCGAATGACAGTTCGAAAATTATTCCGAGAACTTATAACCGAGACAACTCCGACTACCTCACCTTACCTTTTCCCTTCTTTTACCTTCAAATATTCTTTCTTTTTTTTCTTGTTTTTCTCTTTTTTCTCTGCCTATTCTAGAACGTTTTTGAATAATTCCTGTGCGTCTACTGTAAAGCTTAGAAATTTCTGTTTTGCCTCTCTCAAACTTAGACAAGCTTCACTAAGTTGTGTTGGTTTAACACTGCATAGTACTGTAGAGCTATAGTGATGTTGCTCGACTACTCATCCTTGCTCATTCACTCTTCCGGTATGAAAACAGTTTGGTGTTGAAAAATTTGTTTGCAAGAGCCACCTGCTCCTTCTTGTCAACTCTTGTTCAATTCTAGAGTCAGCTGTCTCCCCATAGATAGTACATTTTGAAACATTTATAGACTTTTACATCTTCATCGCTCCTGAATGTCTACAGCAGACATCTGTTTCTTTCTTTCATTCTCTTTTAACAGAGGTCTGAATTTGAATCTTCTGAAATGATTTTTTTTTGGCTTCGTTATCTTCGTTCTCGCATCTCCCCCAAACAATACTTTATGCCTTTCCAAGACATCCCATGAAGAGACGAGCCTAACATATTCCGTTCCAACGGTTTTACTCGAGCTGAAAAAACTTTTGAGAAAATCCTGTCAGGACTGGCACTTTCTTTTCGTGATCGGCTAATCTCTCCCGGACTTAAAGGGCTAAAGGTGCGAGACTCTGTCTGCCCATAAAAGGACTTATCCGTTCGAATTAGAGGGATTCAGGTCATCTAACCATTTTCAGTCGTTCATAGTCCAATAAAGGGTCCCTACATGCGTTTCCCTCTTATCCTCCATTTCTTTGCTTCTTATACCCTCTCTCTACCTTTGTCATATCCTACTTTTGTCTCTTACTATTTAAATGAATTCTTGTGTATGTGAATCTCTGAGCCCATATTTTCCAATCTATTTTCATCTTTACCTTATATGGTATGGCAGAGATATTTGAGGACAGCTGGCAACAATGTCCATCATCAGGCGATTCAATGACACAAATAGTACATTAGTCTTTATTCTCTTTTTCATTGCCATATACGGTCATCAGGTTAAATTTTTCGAGTAAAATAGAACAGTCCTGAATTCTGTGTGTACGGCGTACACCTCCATATTTCCGGTTGGCTTGTCACAAAAATTAGTCGAAGAAGGATTGTTTGTAGATTGAGAAGAAACATTGAGAACAATGCTTTTTCAGAACATTTTTCTGCGTATTTTTCTTTTCCTCACTACTCCCTCTAACTACGGTCTATTCAGACATTCACCCAACTTTTCAATTAGGCAGAAGAGAAAAAGAGGTTTTTTCCCTTTTCTGTCATTTTGCTCTCTACTTGTCGCATATTTGATGAAAAAAAAGAAAATTAATAATCTCTCCAATTATCTCATCCTTTTATAGTTTTTCCACTCAAACCGTTATAAAGCATTTGTTCTCTTTCATTCTATCTCCCTCTATTTCTCTCTCTCTCTCTCTCTCTTTCAGCTCTTTTTTTTCTCTTTCTATCCTCCTCTTTCTCTCTGTGATTGCATAATATTCCTGTGGACATTGGAGTGAATCGAAAAACAGATTGTATGGCCGAGAAAATCTTTTTGCAATTTATGAGTCAGACGAAACATTTTGCCTTTTCTCATTCCTTATTTTCAGAAGTATTTCTTCAGTTACATGGTCTTCTTATTCTTTCAACTTTTCCTATTTTTTTTCTTTACTTCTATTTGGTGTTGTCGTCATTGAAATTTAGTGAAAAGATTGATTTGCAACTTACTATACAGTCTTTTCACAGCTAAGCATATGTTTCTTTTGACCAAACAGTTCAAAAACTTGATAAGCTTCTGTCGACAACATATAAATGACTATTGATGTGTGTGGGAAATATTCCAATTAGAGAATTTCGATATTGGGAAGTTAATAAACATTTTTTTTCCTTTTAATGTGTCTAGTCATTGCAAGTCCTTTTTTAGCCTTTTTCATTTGCAAATGATTTTGTCTTCTTGCTTCATCTGTCACTTATCCCTTTAGGCAATCTGACCATGCTATTGCTTCTTTTCTTTTCTTATGTTGTCGTGATCTTCTTTTATTTAGTTGCGCAATGCTTTAACGTGATATCTTCTTGTATGTGTCTCATCTTTACGTCCATCTACAATCATCCTCGTGCTACACCACAGGCTGCTTTTCTTATGTGCCTTTCAATCCCATAGCCAACCCCCCCCCCCCCTTTGCAATACCCCAACTAGCCAGTTCTCTCTTCTTCTCTTTCTCTCCCTAATCTTCTCTCTCTCTAACCAATATTCATTCAAGAATGATCATTTCCATAGTCTGATTGTCTGTATTCTCTTTATTTATTACGACACTATCCATTCTAATGTTTCTTCTCATTATCGGCTGGCTAGTCGGCTTTCAACCACTAGCCCTTCTTTCGGCCATTATCTTCCCGTTGTTCATTCAGCGGCATCTAGACAGATCTTCACATGGATTGTCTGGAATAAAGTTTTGACTTAAACACAAATAAGCCGTGATATGACGCCATTCAAGGTTACCTCATTAACGGCTTTTGCCACTAATGAAGTTGTTTTGATGAAAAACACAACCGTTCGTAGTGGCCACATGATCGTTGAATGACGCAGAATTCTGTTCACGTGACTACACGTGAAATGCATTCATATGCTAATGAGAGGTTTTGAATGCTTTTAAACAGAATTTCAATGTATGCAAAGGTAAAGCTAAGCTTCATATTCATAGTTATGTTAAGTGGGCAGAAGCTAGCTTCGGCATGTGTGAATGAGCGGCGGACCGGCTCCCAAATGGGACAACGTCGAGAAAAAATATGGCGTAAAGGCTGGCTGTCGGTTTGCTATTGAAATGGACTTCCCAGCTGGAAAACTGTTTTAGAAGTCCACAAAAGTATGTTGTATGTATATAAAGACAGATGAAGAAGAGGCAATGAAAAGAAAGACGAGAGAATGCCGTAAAGAGAATTAAAAACCATGAGAGAACGAGAGAAACAAAGAAATGCCTAGGGCTGGTTTGTCCTTGCGTAAACTCTAGTCAGATCAAGCACGATCGTCCTCTACGAGGCTATTCTTAGTAGTTTCGTTCCAAATCAGCGTGCGTTTCTTTAAGATCAAGCCTTGTTCATTTTTATTGTCGTCTGTTCGAATTTTTCTTCCACAAATTCACTTGAAGATCCCAACAATCAGACAAAAAGTATAGAAGCAGGGAAAATGAATCTTCACAATGCTTATATGGATGAATCAAGTCTGACAAGGGCAAACGCTTATTGAGCTTCCTATCATTTCTTCTTATTTCTTCCCCCCAATTTATCCAGTTTATCACTGATTAGTCTCGTGTTGCCAATCAGGAGAAGCTTGCTTCCCTTCTTCCAAATCTTAATCATCTCTGCCATGTTTATTCTCTATTTATATGTTTCTTTCTTTTGCATTCATAAGCAAATTATCCACAAAATTGGATATAAACAGAGAAAATGAAAGATGAGAGATGATTGGAAATCACAAAAAGCAATAAGAGATAAAGTAGAAGCTTAGGATAGCTCTCCTCTATTTCCAAATACAGTGGCTGATGCCGTTCGCAGATTGAAGAACCCGTTTAGGCCTATCCCCTGGGGGTGGACGGTGGGTGGACAGCTAGCCACCAAACTCCGGCTTCGCAATACCATCTCTCTCCTTTTGGAAATCTTTTCCTCTAAAAGCTATGTCGTCTTTTCATTTACAACATACATACACATCAACAGTTCGAAAATGAAAAAAAAGCTGAAAATTAACAAAAATTATTTTATATTCTCATCAATAACCACTTTACTTTGATTACTTTCAGTACTGAACATAGCCTTATTGGAAATATCTTTTTTTGAAATCACTCAAACAACCAGCTGGTCATTAAAGAATCTTCCTCCCTCTCTATCTTCTCTCATACCTTCTATCCTCAAGCCACGCCCACTACCGATTCTTCCGTCTGTAGATGTCGTCAACGCCACCTCTTGCCTTCGTTCTCTCGTCATTAACAGAAGATTCTGGCATTTCAACCTTGCTATGTTACTACTATACAGATCTCTTTTAGATATAAGCTTCTCGACACATCTCATATAATTATATCTTGACCATTATTATTATATGTTAAATATTCGTTTCAAGCACTAATACATCTATTTGATTTCTATATTGAAACAATTTTGCATCGTTCCTACTACTTCTACCTCTTTCAAAAATCATATGGGACTTTTTCCTCTTCGGAGCTTTACAACCTCCCAAAACTGTCATCATCGGCAATTGCTTTGAGCATTTCATCTTTCACATCTTTTTTTCGGATTTCCACTTTCTTCATATCGTTTGGTCAACTTGTGATTTTTGTTTTTTCTCCATACTCTACCTCTCCGTTTAGTTCATTCTGCCATATCCAAACTGTTTTTTTCTTCTCCTATTCTCACTCTCAATCCACCATATCTGGAAGAGCGCATTCCCAAACCATTAACTCTTTTTCTACGAACATTGTCATAACCGGGCGGTCTTTCAGTCGATCTGTTTCTTCTTCTTTTATCTTTTAATATCTTCAGTTTTAAATTGATACATTACGCATATCATCATCTTCGCCTTTTTCAAATTCAACTTTTTACTCTTCAAGAAATTTTCTCTCTCTCTCTTTTCCTCTCCCTCTCTTTTCCTCCCTCTTTCTCTATCTCTTGGTTTGCTGATTAAACGTAAGTTATGCCATTTTTCACAACCTCTTTTTTTGACCATTTTTTGTCTTTTCTCTTTTATCCAACTTTTTTCGTTTTTACTCTGCCTTTCTAGCTCGAATCGACTTGATTGAACATAGTCATGTCCGACATCCGAAAAAAATTTTCCTTCTCTTGAGATTTTCTTTTACCGTGGCCTCTCAAATATACAATCGTCAATTCCAGGTAGAATGCTGCCGATGACACCGAGTGCAGTACCCACATTGCCATCAGCTTTTGCTGCATTTGCTGCTTCCCAGCTCCGATCTCCGTTGGTTACACCATCACCATCTCTAGCACACATCCTGCAATCTCCACACTTCCAAAATATGCTTCAATCGCAAGTTGCGGCATTGCAAGCTCACCAATTGGTTCAGAACAGTTTGGAACTGCCTTCCAAGTCGCCAAAAACGGTAAGATATTGACCATCTTAGATATATCATAACTTTCCATTACTGTAGCCAACAATCTATCCAAGTGGACGGAAGAGAGTTGGCGGATCAACTATGAAAACTGCGAAAGTCTGGAGATTTTTTGATGAATTGCCTACACCTGAACAAGCTGCGGAATGTCGAATTTGTCGAAAAAAAATTAAAGCAACGAACAGCAGGTACGGCATCTGAAGCTACTACGAAAAAAAGAAAGATGAAGAGTGAGATATATTCACATAGAGACAGAGATAGAGAGAGTAGAAGAAACAAAGAGAAATAGAAAGAAAGCCTTATTTGGGATATTGTTTTCTTGCTTGCTTCCTATCTCAACTACTGTACCTTGTTATTTCTTTAATGTTAAAGGTGCGTAGATATGAAGACATAAGACTTCGTTGCCTTCAAAAGGAAACAAAAATAATCGGGATAGAAGAAGCGCTCATCGTACATTCCAACACACGAAAACATCTTTTCTTGAGCTCCATTGATGTTCATTCGAGCAGTAGGATGTCTTCCATTGCTATTTCACTCAAAAAACAATAAGCGATTCCACAAAATTTTTCACAAAACCGTTAAAGCAATAACAAATTGACTCGGTTTTTTGTGTATGTATCTGCCTTTTCTATTTCAAACTTTTTTCTGCGAGGGAAATATGAGTCAAAGAGAGTTTTCTGAAATTTTCATTTCTGATGAGATGAGTAATGATCATAAATGCGCATCTTAGAGCTCATGCCGCTTTTCTTTGACTTTTTACTTTCTGTGAACTTTCCAATACTCTAAGGTCAATAGACTGAAGCAGAAAAAAAGAGTAGTTTTAACCTTATTTTTCAGCACTACTGGAATGATTCGCCATTTAAGGAGTTGTCATGTTACAGAATATCAACTTGTTCAAGAAGCCCGACAGACTTGTATGTTAATGAAAATGGGTAAGTGAAATCACATTTATTGCTAACGGCTTTGATTGTCAAAGAGAAAGAATGGTACATAGCTGGTGTTCGCACTTTTATTTTTTTACATTTTTTCTCCACTCTCTATCAAGATGTAGTTGAAACATACAATTTGCTTGACCAGTAGTAGTTCATTCACACGCCCTTTTTGCTTTTGTTGTGTTGGTGAAGAGAGTGAAGTGGTGTGAAGATAGATTAATGGACTACGGGTTCTTCATCGTTTTGACGTTATGCTTCTTCTTTTTCATCTTCTTCATGGTCATCTAACCACTGATGTCGTCGTCGTTGTCGTCGTCGTCAGACTGCTTCCAATTAGAATGGACCGGTCTGTGTTCTAAGGGCTACTTGCAACCAGCTAAAAGAACTGAACACACACAAACATCACAAAATGAAAAGAATTACATACAAACATCTCAAAATCTTTCGTATTTTTTGTTTCTTTTTTTGAATTTCCACATTTGGCTCATCCAGATGTTTACTGACAGCCAACTGTCACTCAAACTATCATTCGAATACCTTGTACCTCTTCCTCCATATGTGGCCCGAGATTGAACATTTTGATAGAGAGCTAACACCTGCTTAAACGAACACCAGCTAAGGATGTGTATATTACTGTACAAGGTCATTCTTTGTACCTTGAAAAGCTTCTGGTCATTTTTGAATTCTTATTAATTGCAGAAGAAAAGGCTAAGGTTCAAATGTTGAGAGAAATGAACACAGATGCTATGAACAATACGCGTCCCATCACGAAAAAAAGTGACTCTGAACAGAAAAGTCCATCAGGTAGATAATCCAGTGACACAAAGTATTGAAGTCGAACTTTTAAGCTTCATCGTCTGCATCAGACACAGCTTCTTCCACAACATCGTCAGCAATGTTCGCGCCGTTACCTCCATTGCCTCCTCTGATTGTTCCACAAGGCTTGCCTGCACCTAAGCCGGTTAAAGTAATTCTCAAAAGTGAGAACGGAACAGAAGTAATTAAATATATAAAGAAAATCGTACTTTATAGTTGTACTTGTTTTAAGATTGAAGATTCGAACGAGCAAGATCAAACTACTACACTCTCTACGAAATCTTCCGCATTTGCTTCAATCAAATCTTCCCACAAATCTATTAGTGATGAGGACGATGAATCAAAGAAACTAAACGCTCAGGTAAGCTTTCTTTTCTTTTTTTTTATTAACAAGTTCCTCTAATCAAATTCCCCTCTCCTTTTACACAAAAGGCGACACTGCTTGAAAAATGAGACTTAAAGTCGTTGCCTCAGGGAGGGATGGCTAAGTCCGAAAAACCGGTTTTTTTCTTTTTGTTCGTCTGAATGCCAGGCAATGAAATAACTAAATCGAGCCAGGGAATGGTCAAATCCCCCGAAATCTTCTTGAAGTTTGTACAATAATTTTCTATTACATTCTTTCATTTTTGGAATGAGAGAAAGAGATGGAAGTTAAAGAAGCTTCCAAAAGATCTTTGAATCTCGTTAGATTCTTTATGAACCTGTGACGTCTGGTCAGTCGATGCACTTAGATTGTCGTCTTGCGTCAGAACACGGCGCTTAAGATCCCACAAGCTTTCCGGTTTAAAGATGGTTAAAACCGACTTCTTCGAAAAGATGTATATAGCTAGCTGGGTTTCAGATAGCTTCGGTCATCTGAAGCTATTTCTCATCGTTTTTGCATGTACATCTCATTCTCTCAATCTTTTCTTTTCCCAATTCAATCCATCGTTAGTGGTGTTGCAATTGCGACAAGCCGTTCGTTGTCGTCGAACAGAAGGAGACCAGTTACCAACTTCCATTGAAAAAGACACGATCGCGTGTCAGCTGTGATCGGATGGCCAAGTCCACAACGACTTTGGACAGGAAGAAAAAGAGGAAAAGAAACCTGGGATAACTAGGCTAGACAGACATCAAACAAGTTCCAAATCTCGGTATCGTCTGAGAACAAGAGGTGATCATGAGAATTAAGATGGCGACACAACCAGATATTGCCTCAGGCTATCATAAAAAGAAAAACTTTAAAAAATATCGAACTATTTGGACCACCAAAAAGAAGAATTTGTACGACAGTTCACTTTTTCATTTTCAGATTGCCTTAATGATTTTGATGGATCATCAATCTCCAAATATTGTTGACAAGCCAGGTTTCCGTCAGCTAATCAGATTCCTGAAGCCATCTCATCAGCTGCCATACTCGAACAGTTTCCAAAACGAACTCATACCCGAAATTCTTGCCCAGATTCGGCAATTCGGAGCTATGATGATGCTGAATAAGTAATAACACTCCGAGAAGATTTTTTTTTACGTTGAAACTATTACAGTCCAATTCCAAATCCATTTGAAACACTGACCAGCATTCTTCCCCAAACAAACGAAATTCATAACATGTCTTTCGGTTCAGAATCCAGCAAAGTGAGTTCTATAATATCGTCTATCATTATTAAAAATGAATTAATTTCTCAGACCGAAGAAAAACGAGAAGATGACAGTGATTCTGCTTCTTCCGCTGACACAGAACAAGATTTATCGTCAAAAATTGATGTTTTGGCAAATTATTTGGGAACAAGCATTCCTCAGGTACATACTACCAGTAGAGATATGACTAATCAAAACATATTTTTAGGAAGAACTTTCCTCTTTGGTTTCTGTCTGTCATAATGTGTATAACTATTTCGAAGACCGACAGCAGCTATTTTCTCAACTATCAATGGTTCGACCATCATCTGAACCTTCACATCCAACGCTCCTGAAGGAGCTTCTTTTTGTGGCCTCAAATTCGGAAGCCATCAACAGTTATATCAGATCGACACCCGATATGGATATTCTGCCAATCTCAGATTCTCAAAGACGTCTTCTCTCAGAATTATTGCCTAAACACTGTTGAATTGATGAGGCAAGAAAGAAAGAAGTGTTCAGAACTTCTTTCTCCTGCCTATCATTTTCATATCACGATTACGGAGTATATTGAGTTCCTATATGGAATCATTTCAAATTCGATTTTCAATTGAAAATTCCTTGTTATAACTTACCTTCTTGATAGATTCTACCGAATAGTTCAGTTGTGTTCTAGATTGTCATCATTCATTCATTGCTTTTATTCTTTTTTGAAGAAAGAAAAACACATTGTTTTCCTATTTGTTTGCTCGTCTATTGGCTATGAACTAGCTTTATCTGCCCAGTGTTTTCCGAGTTATTTCTGCTTCCATATTAGCTTTACATCTTATATCTAGAGCTCTTTTGTCTTTTTTTTCAAGAATATCAATCCCTTACACCCGGTAGTTTTTAACAAAAAAATAGAAGAAGAAAACAGAATGGAAAATTCTTTCAATATTTTCTTGCCTTGTGAATTCATCCTTCCTCCCTCCCCCCCTCCTTCATACCACACTCATCTACCTCCAGCACATTAGATCGAGGTAACAGTTGTATAATAAGAATGTATCTTTCAGTTATGAGCATTTAAAAGAAATCCCATAGAAGTCTTGCCATAACACATATTTCAAACAAAAACTTTCAAAAGACTATACTCGTCTCTACTATAAATCTCCAATCATCCTTCTTCTCTTTCACTCTGTCTCTCTCTCTATATCTCTCTCTTCCTCTCTCTCTCTCTCTCTACAGTTCTGAATTTAATATATTAAGATTTATATAAAATATATATAATATATAATATATATATAGTGTTGTCAACCATTCTCTTATTTATTCCAATAAAACAATTAATATAACAACTCAAAGTCTTCTACGGAGCTCGCATAGACAATTCACGAAATTTGTTAATTTATGACAGCTGGTTTATCTCAAATCTTCAAACTTTTTCCTATACAACTTACTTCTAGCCAACATCGGCTGAAACCGCTCTTCCTTCTCATCATGAACTGAGAGAGAGAGATGCGTCTTCAGATTATATTTCCAACTGTATATGAGAGTTTCTTCAAACTCATCTTCGGGGCAGAGCTTTTACTGATCCTGCTTAATATGGTCATAATGATTGTTTCACTTTTAATTATTAAGAACGCAAAAGTTCATTTTAATCTTCGACTATGCATGTCATCTATAATTTTCCAATATTTATTCTCATTATGCTCGCGATTCATCATACTCTTATATCAATTGGAGGTCTTCACATCAAATGGTTAGTCTAATTTATATAATTATGATAATTCCATTAGATTTCAAGGTGATATTGAAAGTAATCCAGTCATCATTTGTTCCAGTTTGATTCGAACTTACTATATGGCAATTATACTTTCGGGGTTTTGCCATTCTGTGTGCATATGTCTTCATTTCATTTTCAGAATTTTGATTTTGGCTCTCGAAAGGCTAATTGCTAGTCATTTTATCGCAGATTATGAAATTAAAGAAAGACGTCATCTTGCTTTTTTGTTTGTGGCAGGAAAATCATTCGCTTCAATAATTTGCTCAATTTTATTCACTTACGGTAACAATACGATTTCACAGAGATTTCATGATGTACATGTCTCAGAGATAATCCATTGGGGTTGTTTGGCTTCATTAGGGTTGGCATGTACTTTTATAGGAGTTTATGTAGTAACATTAGTTTTTTTCTTAAGCAGCAAGTAATTTTTCAGATTTTTTTTAAACTCGACTCAAACAACCAAGATAAATTTGCAATTCTGCAGAAAAATCATCGTTCAGCAAAAACTCAATATACGTTGAGTCTAAGGTTTCAATTGGCTGAGAATATTAAATCAACACAGGTTTTTTTTGTTGCTGAAATCTTTTAAATAATTTTGTTAGATTATCAAAAAGGCAATTGTAATGACAAGCTTTCAAAACATCGTCAATTTCGTTTTGTATGTCTGTGCAAATCTTGATATGGTTCGGGAGAGCTCAGTCACATTGTCGCAATGCATAGAAACGGCTTTCAATTGTTCAATTGCAATGTAAACAATACAAAATGATTAATTTTATGAGTTTCGTATCATTTTGCAGGTACGGTCTTGTCATAGCAGTAGCTGCCATTGTAAGGCATCCTTACTTCGCTCAAGTACTACGTGAAGCAGAGTGGGCAGGTAGAACTGTATGAAACATTTGAAAAGTGAACAAGCATAAAAAATTCATCATGGGGACACTTACGAGAAGTCCACGTGATAATTCACGGAGCTTTTGGAATCCAAGAAGAGCGCGTAATCATTTATGAATGATGCTGAGCATAGTGCGGTTGAACATTAAGAGAGAGAGAGAGAGAGAGAGAGAGAGAATGCAATAAATCTAAAAATAAGTAATATTCAGCATTTCTCTTCCGTGATAAACGACCGGTCAATACAGTTGACAATGAAACAAATGTATATTTCACCACGCTGAACTCACAATGGAACTTACAACTTGCTAATACAAATCAGGGAAAAAAGTGATCATATCGTCTTTCAAAATAAATCTTTACAACGAAGACCATTTTCGTTCTCGTTCTCCGAATTAATTTCGTAGTTCCGACAATTACATGATCTGATAGGATTGTTTATAATTCTTCGTATATGAAATGCACCTGCTTGTTTTATTCCATGCATCAGTTATAGCTTGGAGATGTAGAAAGAATTGGTAGTTGACGATAATTGTTCATTTGATTTCTTTAAATGCGGTTGGAATACTTCAAAGGACTCTCTCTGGCAGAACTTTATTATCTACCAATAGTCGAAATACTGCTCATATTCATCAACCTAGTTTTCTGCTTTTTTAGTTTTTCATTCTCATTAAGTGCTAGGCTACACTTCAATCTTAAAGCTCTGACTATTTACGTGATAGTTATGTACTTCATAACTCTGCTTAGTCGATTGGTCAGTATTCTGTTTATCATACAAGTCTTCAAGCTAAAAGAAGGAGGTAGGAATCACAAGGATGGAAATGTGATTATTTCCATTTTCAGAATACCCACAAGACCATTTGGTTGTTCAAACATGTAACATTATAAGAATTTTCTTTTTCTCAATTGTGTTAAACATGTATCTCACTTATTCAAAGTTTCATCATGTAATCACTGACTTCCAGTTTACTCATTCTATCCTGCGAGCGATTCATAGCAACCATATTCATAAAAGATTATGAAAAGAAGGAGAGGAAGTATATTGGACTAATTCTTTTATTCCTCCTCACGTGCTTTGCTTTAACAGATGCATTTGCTTTCGTCTATGGTAATATCATTACATATGTTTTGTCTCAAGTGACGACATCTTTTAGAATTGGCTCACTGGATTCTTATGGCTGTTTTGGGGTTCTTATCATCACTCACTGGTGTTGTGGTGACTTTTAATCGCTGGCAGAGTCAGACAGCAGCTAACTCTTTTCAGACGCTTGAATACATACATCGGAAAAATGATAGCAGATGGAATAAAATCAATTCCATTCATGATCAAAGATCTAGTTATAGTCTTAGTTATCGCTTTCAGTTGAACGAAAACGTTTCTTCTTTGAAGGTATGAATGGCATTGGTGATATGGGAAATAAAACCATTTCAGATCATCCGACCTTCCATAATAGCTCTTTTTGTAACGGATGTTATATCTGTACCATTATATATATTGGCTCATTATAACTTCAAACGCGATAATGCCAGAGAACCTTCTCAGATATTTGTTTTTTTATTCAACATAAGCGTTACTATGTAAGCAAAATATAAAGTAGCATACTGATAGGAGATTTAGAAGTTCTTTGGCTGTGCCGGGGGTTATTTGCTTTAATTCCAAGGATCTCATGGCTCGTCTGAAAAACAATAAGTTTTTAGGTTAAAACTTTTTTATTTTCGTCATAATCGCATTGGATGCAGGTTCTCTTCTCAAATGGTACACTCCAGCAGTGAACGGAGGAAATGTCAACGAAACCGCTGTTCATTTCACATCATTACAGTCAATGTGGGACCCAACGATTAAGTATAGCTTTTCTGCTCTTTGAGTTCAACTTACATATTTTCCTAAGTTAATTGAAGACGAAGAATATAGACAACACTACTCCGAAAACAACCAAGCGTTCAGAACTGTAACTGCATTCAGCAGGTACTATACCACAATTCTAGAGTATTGATAATACACAATTATATATTTTTAGTTGCTTTTACTTCCTGAGCTTCTTCAATTGTGAATATCGCTGTTCTAGTATAAATTTCCGATAATTTCTTAACAGAACACGAATATCCACAATCAGGAATGTAGATAGGATAAGGATCTCTTGTAGAGTCGTTTCGATAGACAAACTATAAAGTTTTTTAATGTTTGACTTTGCATCCACGATAAGAATTAAACTTCGACTGTCCAAGGATCGCTATACACTTCCATAATAATAGCTGCTCCATATGTTGGAATTTTACCGTCTCCTACGCCCATTGTATACATCAAAGAACTCAGAACAGTGTCATGCTAAATCAAAAATGTCCTTTGAAGAAACCACATTGAAAACTATTCATATGAATGTTTCCCAACTCACCGAAGAGTATAGTTTCATCTTTGACGGGTTTTTCTGAGTTCCATTAGCCACGTTCAAAGCTGTAGTGATGAAGTCACCCAACAAATACCCGGTAAAACGCTGAACCGTTTTAAAATTTTAGCGAGAAAAGCAAATCTTCTTACTCTCCCCAGATTTGGTGCACTGTACATTTGAACAAAAAATGAATCGCCAATATCAGTAGCGATTTGCAGAGTCGTTCGGCCACCATACTGTTCCCAACGCCTGTAAACCCAGTCAGGCTGCTGCGTCAGATTGTTAGCCAACTAGTGCACGAGCTTATTTATTAAAACGAGGGAAGTATTGAAACCTCTCGATTTATATCGTAAATGCCAAATGTATCCACAGTTGAAAAGTTTGAAATCCCAGTCACGGTTGACAAGAAAGAAAAGAGGTCTGCGTATCTGTAGAGTTCGATTAACCCCCCAATATCAAGTATAACTGACTCTCTATCATTTTCCTCGATTGAAGCATTGGCTATAGGCGCGTATTGATCATTGTATTTTGGGCAATTTATAGAAGTGGCTCGGCAAATCTTAGAGAACAAACGTATAATATGATTTCAGAAAAAAAATTCACCCAATCATCTACGCCATCAGAAGAACCATGGATCGGTGTAGGTTGCCAAGGTAACCCACTCTCAAACACATCAGCCCCTGACTCATTAAAAATCAGTTTCCCGAAATGGAAATACCTGTTGCAGGATAAAAGCCATAGGAAAAAGATTGAGCAGAAGCGGAAGTACGATCAACATTAGATGTAACCAAATAAACCTGATCGGAAAAAACATATAAAATCCCACCATTAAAACCATAATACCTCACTGGGATCAAACCTCGTTTTGGTCAGAGTAGCGTAACGAGCTCTCATGAACTGTCCCAAGTTCTTTAACTGACGCATTCCAATCTTAACAATAAAATTCTGATTCGAAAGTATGAATGAATCACGTTAGTGAGCATCCCCCATCCTCGGGGCCAGTATTCTTCTGTATATCTGTCAGTTGGATAAGGTTGCTCAATCGGCGCTCGATCTCCATGTCTCCAAACTGATTGTACGAACTCCAGCTTCCTGGCAGCAGATAACACAAAAATAAAGACCAAAAGGAGAAGAAGCTTCATTCTAAAAGTTAGAATAGAATCAAACTCTAAACAAAACATAATGGTTGTGAGGTGAGAAAGTCGAAGGAAAAATTAAATTGTGCTCAGGCAACGACAAACTCTCGGTGAAACAATCTGGGAGTAATAGCGCTCAAAGATTTGATTGGAACACCCATTGGAATTAAAACATTTTTTTTCGCTATGGGAGTTTAATGGAAAGGCGAGGAGAGAGAAGTGTATGGATGGAATTGTAAGATGAAAAACTAAAGAGACAGAAAGATAAGTGATAAAAAGGGTAAAAAAAAAGAAAAAAAAGAGAGATAGGTCTGAAATCAAAACGAAAAGTGATCTGAAACTCTCAATAATCTATGCTTTATAATATTGCTGACATAATAGATGTGAATTCGAAATATGTATTGGAAGCGCGAAGGAAGAGCAGTAATATTTATGAGAGCAATTGGAGAGACACTGCCTTCACCAACAGTAAAAAGACCAGAAATATATTAGTGTTCACAGAAGAGGTTAGGAAAGAAGTTCTAAAGCTTGAGGAAGAGTCTGTATTGAACGAACAACGGCATCTGCCAAGCCTTCGCTATAAAATTCAACGTCAAAAAGCAAATCCAAGCGTTGCATTTGGGTAGATACGGCCTAAAAGACAAATACCATTCTCAAAATATCTTGTCCAACCAACCGCTAATCTACGAGACCCTTCCTTTCTTCTCACACTATCTGACGATCTTTTTATTTCCTAGAATGCCAAAGATAAATGTTTTTATGGGAGAACTAAACATACCATTGCTTGCTCCGTTGTCCATCCTATTAGGCTTACTAGAGTTTCATTGTCTATGTAGCAAGATATGGTGGAGCTCTCATCCATTAGCAACACTTTCTGAGTCCACACGTTATCTACGATTCTTAAGGCCTCCTTAATCTCTACTACAACCGCCTGGTAAGAATTAAATCATGCTTAATCCTCTCTATCCTACAACCTGGATTTTGCATCTGATTGACCCAACGACAAATCGGCTCTGTCGTGAGGCTTGGACAATTTTCATGATCTTCAATTTGTCAAATCGATCACAATAAACCGAGTTCATAGGGCTTTTACACAACTGATCGATGTAACCATTCTGAATTTAAAAAAATTCGAAATAAAAGAAATAAATAAGAGAATAACTGATTCAACAGCAGGAACCGGTTGAGCTGGTGAGTCCGTCGGAGCTGATAGAGCCGGAGAAGGGGTCACCACTTCATCATCCGATAGATCTATTATCTCGAGCTTAACAGTTCTCTGCTAATATTCATATCACACAAGATTAAGTAAACACTCCTCACAATATTATTAGAACTCGCTACCTTTTTCGGAGGAGGAGACTTCGGAGTAATCCGTTCAGGTATAGTGATGACGTCTTGAAAAAACAAAGAATCGAAAGTTGTTTCGTGGATTTACTCTGTGAATTTGATACGAATGATTCGTAATTGTTAGTATGATTTTTTGTTTTGAGTTTTTCAAGTTCTGGCTTTTGTGTGCCTGTATATCGGGAATAAGTTCGAAAAGATTCCCTACATCTTAAATTACTTACCTATGGGCTTGGGTGGTGTCCATGGATCGAGAGAAGTATCGTGCGAGGCTTGGGTAGAAGATGAATCTCAAATAGTACTTGGTTCTTAGATTCTGTTAAGCTCGCTAACCTAAGCATTTGCTCAAGACAAAAGAACGCTTTCTTGTTATTCTACTATTTGTAGTGTAATCAGGTCCACTTGGAGTGTAGTCCCTAAGAAAAGAAAGATCTCATAGTAAAAGCAGTATGATGTCTTACGGACATTCCGCATCGAAATTAGGAGGAGAATCTTCAAGCCTTATGACCGGGTTCGGTTTAGCTACGGCAGTACTCAAACATCCCTTGAACGTTTGGGATTGTTTGGGAGTAACCGGATTTGGTTTGACCTGGAGATTGGAGAAGATAGTATTGATACTTACAGTTCCGTTACCTCAACTATTGCACTTTTCCGCTTTGTTTTTGGGCGTGCCATACTAAAGCTAGAAAAAAAAATTGAATTATTTTCCCTGTAATTCATCCTACAGAGACACCAATGTTTGTGAATTTCGTTGTTCTTCAACAACAGTGCTCTTCCGTTTGAATAAGGCAGGAACAGAACTATCATCATCAGATTCCACTATTCCTGTTACTTGGAAATTATAATCATCTGAAAACGCGGATGATCGTGATAGGCAATTATGATAAACACCTGAGGGAGGAGAAGGATCTTTCGCACAGTCAAAATCGTCATCCTGTAAGTACTGGTTGCTCGAACTAGGTGATGGCTGAAGCAGTGTCCTATTCAGTTCGCGATTAACTGATCTATTCAATAATGTTGAATAAAACATAGTATAACTCTCTCACTTCACATTCAACTCGACAATGTTCATACTTGCTTCAGTCTCTAACTCCTTTGTTTCTTGCACTGGTGAAGCGATCCCTAATAAGGATGTCATCACTTCCAGTGGTCTCCCAGCTTTCATGAGATGTTCAACATCACCTCCTGGAAAACATTGAAACTCACGAAAAAACTAAAGCCAACCTAATATTTGTATATTCGAAGCTTTCAACATTAAAATTCCTTTACGTGAGATTATGCTAGGTAAGAACAGGACCTGTAGAAAAACGATGGAATAGAATCTCAGGACGACTCACCTTACATCCTGGCGTCAACAACAAATTAATTTGAGGAATTGCGAAGTGTTCAATGGCACGAGCATTATATGCTCCATCACTGATAGTAATTGAAAGCATTCGTTTGGGTTTCGAAAACAAACTGAGGTAGAAAATAGTGAACGGTATACTTACCGCGAACTCATTAGGGTTTTCCTGTTCGGGTAGTGCATCAAACCCTGAATTATCAACAAATTCGTATGTCAATGTCTTGAATTGCGAATAGAGTGAAGAGCCCACATCTACAATAGATGTGACCTATAGAAAATACAAATGTATATTATCATAGTGAGCTTTTCTACCTGTGCTACGAAGGGCGTTGTGATAACATTTTTTCTCGAGTCATTTGAAATTCCAACTTGATCAAATATAGGATATGTAGATTCCGAAAGGTCGGAATATAGCCATTGTTCATATACGGCTTCACAAAATTTCGAATTTATCTACGAAAGTAGATACTATTAAGTGAACTTGAAAGTCGACCTACTCCAGAACCCTTCAGGGATGTTATTGCGGCATTGAGCCAATCTTCTTTAAGCACAATGTGACGTTCGATAAAAAAATTGAAAATTTCCTCAACAGGCATTCGGAGTAAAACTGTATTCTCCGAGTTTTACTTCTTCGTTGCTTTTCTACTTCAACTTCAGCTTTCAAGCTTTTCTTCAGATTTAAAAATACCGCCTTCTGTACGTGACCACGTATCCTCAATTGAAATTGCGCTTAGCCGTGGAATATGTTATTTCATCGAAGTTTTCAATTAGATTTGGGAAAGTTGAAAATTTACAACCAATTTTCAATAATGAAAATGAAAAATGAAAAGCTTGCGTGTTTCTTTCCTTATCATTTATTATGTTTTCACTAAAGGAGCGGTTGTTTTTTTCCCAAGATGAAGGCGATGCTCAATAACAAACTATAAGATTCAAACGAACTCCTACCTATCCCCAAACCATTTCTGTAAATGTTTTGAGGCTTCCCGAATAAGATAAGCGTACAACAAGCTTCCAATATACATGTAAAACCCTTTAATAAGGTGTAAAGAAGAAAAGAAGTTCCACTGGAGTTATGCTTGAAGACATACCGCCAAAATGTTTAATAATATTGTGAACTTCTTCTCTCTTAACAAAAACAAAGAACGGCGACTCATAAAATGACCAAAACGCTTTTCAGCCTTATTTACCTTTTTTTCTGAACTTATGCTTGTAAGAACTGTAACTATGTTTTATTTTCTGACTACTCTAAAAGACGAGAGATAATCATGATAACGATCAACGTGAATGCGACGAAGCGCAAAAACATTTCCATATTTGCCAATATTTCTTTTGTTTTTTCGTTTTCTGTAACCATGAGGTTATGAACAGCTACTAAGACTTTCTCTGTGTTATAACAGCTGAAAATAGTTGGCTAAGCTATGTGAGAAAAACTACTAATTACTAATAGAATCCTGAATCAGTTAGTTGGAGATTGCTGATGATTAATCGAGAGCTTTCGTCCAAAGTTATTCTCCCCTTAAACATGTTTGGTAGTTTCACCCAGGATAGTACTATTTACTTTAAACTTCTCTTTCATAATTTCAATTCCGAAGTTTAAAATTTTGTCAGTATGCCATTGGATGCCTGTTGGTTCATCCGGATTGACAATGCAAGACAATACGATGGAATCTCCTTCGACCACCTCAACATTTCAAAGAAATATCATGATTCGATATAAATATCTTACCAAATAAGCTTTTCGAATTACAGGAGCGAGCAATCGCGGCAAAATTTCGCCGAAAAGAAATTCGCCTTTAGGAATGTAATCCAAAACACGAAAATCGCTTAGTTCGTCTACTGATGTGATATTTCTATCTTCAATTTCTAATGATTTGCATGTGTTCTGGAACATGATGCTTGTTCAATAAAAATAGGAATCTAAGTACATTGCAAGGACGATATTCAATAAGCCTTGCGGTTTGTCCAATAAATTTGCGTAAGCTTAAAGGCACTATGGAACTATCACAGGGAGCAGTACCGAAAAGCTTGATCCAATCGCTAGACTTGGGTAGTTTATTCAAAAACGGTATGTTCGGCTAAACTAAAATATGAAAAACTTGAAGTGAACTTCTACTACTTCAATAACACATTGATGTAAGCGTATCTCCTCTCCATTCGTTTGGTTTCCACATTTGTTACAAATACTCCATTGATAGGGCTGGAAAGATCATTATGTCAATCTGGAACTATAAGCTTCCGTAACTCTGATTCGGGCTTTCAAACTTTGATTCATGAACTTTCGTTCAGGAAAAGACTCATACGCTGATTGAATTTCAGGTGACCCACTTGCTACCTGTTGGAGGGATGTACTAGTACTAGTGATGCAGATTATAACCCACCATTTGGGTTTTCGACTCACTTCGAACATCCAAGAAAAAAGCCAAACTTATTCGATGAACTTTTTTATATTTATTGATACAACGATAAAATCCCGTATTGTTAACATCTACGTTTTTAAGAGTCAATTCATAACGATCACCTAAAGTCTGCCGATCGGAGTCCCGACTCAGAAATCTAGGAACATTCCGATGTAACACATCGAACAAGCACAGTACCTTTTTATTTTCTCGCTGACAGCATCTAATTTGTGCTGGCGTTGGTGAATATTTGTAAGATCTCTCCAAATGCGTCCTGGTCTTGCAAATTCCCAGTCATATTTCCATTTTCTCTCATCGAACAGTCCCCAGCCTGGTGACAAACGCTGAATAGTTACAGCTGTTGTGTGGTACTGACTCAAAACTCTCATACTTTTTTGAAAAAATCAACAGCTTTTTTGAAAACTCTTCCAACGGAGCCTGACGAAGGCTTGTATGTTGATTCTATTTCTACAGCATCCTCAGGAGATACGCTGAAAAGTTTAGAATCAATCTTTGGTATTCAGCACTGCTGATAAGCTGTAATCATGAGTTTTTCGGAGAGGATTCGTTATCTAAATTGACATTAATCCCTGTGATTTTCGAAAAAAAATGGAATATGATTTGATATCATGGTATACTATGTGTAGCGGTCAAAGTACCATGGAAAACAAGGAAAAATCACATCTGATCCTTTGATAACTGAAATGACCTTCAAACTGAAAGATTATGAAGTACTGTCCAGTAGTTAGAACCTCGATATGTTCTTCATCAAAACGATTGTAGTTTTCACTACGTCTTCTTAAGCATTCGTTATGATGTTCAAATTGAAGAGAAAGTTCTTTTTGCTCCTTCAAATCAACAGGAAATGAAGATAAGAAGTAAACATACCGGCATGACAAGACATATGAATGAAAAAAATAAAAACAACCGCATCGCGCGTATGAATTTGTTGAAATGAGTTGTGATTTGCATACTTGGATGCACTCAAAATGGCGCGTAAGATTCAAGCAATGAGCTCATTTGAATGCAATTGTGAAGTAGTAAACATTCATTTCGATATCTTATTTCTTGTATGATCGATGAGGGCAACTTATCACTTAAACATGAAATTTTCATAACCAGTGTAGGTGTTCCAATAATTTTTTTTCCAAAATGATAAATCGATTTTCAATAACTTCAAGGCTGTTTGAAAAATTGATAGAAAATCTCAGAGTTTATTGAAAGCATCCGTTCAAACTTTCTTTATATCATCACGTTTGACAAGATGAATTTTTCGTATGAGAACAATTGTGAGGGTTTGGCACTCTCGCTCATCTCATTCTCTCTCTCTCTCACTTTCTGTCGCTTTCAGAAAAAAAAAAGAAAAAGAAGAAGGTTTCTCATTAAAATTATAAGACATATATTATATTTGTAATATGTTGTATGATAGCTAACACAATTAAATTACCAGGAACATGAAATGGTTTTCATTTTTATTTTCAATTGTTCGATTCGGCAATTCGCTGGCAAAGTTTGAAAATGTTGACTCAATCATTATCTTATCAGACTAATCCCTCACATTCTCATCAATTAGATTTTTTATTTCTTTTTTTCGTCTTCCTTAATTCAATTATTAAATAAAATTATTTTTATTGGACACACATATGCTAGAAAAAAAAAGATTGAAAAGTTCATTTGTGCTGCGCAGAGTATATGGATGGATGACATGGATGGCAGGACAGTACGAGTATTGGGGATGCACTATGGGCACATCAGCTGTTTGTTTCTATGAGCTCTCTTCTATCAGCGCATTGTTTTTTCTTTGATTTTTGATTAAAGGTCAAGTCTCTTTGTGCTTCCGATGATTATGAGTAATTTATATATTATGCTTCTACGTATTCATATCGTTTGTCCGTGAAATATGATTGTGTCAATTAAGTTTATAATGTTTATGAACATATAATGAATGAGAAGAAAGAGAGAGAGAGAGATCAAAACTTAAATATTATCTTTCTCTATCTTGTCTCTTTGAATGTGTTCTCTTTCTTTTTCTCAGTTTCTCTTTCTTTCAATCAGTTTAATGATTAGCAAGAAGTAGAATCTTGCTTAGATACTGTCTAGAAATAGAGAAATCATTTTGATTGAAGAGATATGATGAGAATCATACAAATCAGTACCGCCCTTTGGAAGTGGTACATATACTGTTTGAAGGTGATATCTCATCCAATTCCATCATCATCCATCCATTATTCTTCCTCGTTTTTGAAATTCTCTCTCAAATACTTCCTCCTTACTCTCACTGTCTGAGTCCTAGTTGATTGATCAGTTATCCATCTGAACGTTCACCCCTCCATACCAGTTTCTTATGATAACTACAACTATTTGTTTCTTCTCTTATTTCCTTATATCTTTTTCGTTTTATGAAATGAAATGAAAACAAATCAAATTTATTTTTCAGTTTATCTCTTTCTTAGAAACAGAGCCATGGATTTGCTTGTTCAAGCAGTTGGTTACTTCAATAGTGGAAATTCAACAGAAGTCGTTGCTGAGCAATCTACAGCACTTCAGACAAAAGAAGAAATTTTGAAGAAACGATCTGGAGTCATCGGGTAAATCTATCCTTATAATTATAAAAATTGAAAAATGAATTTTGAGATCAAAATGCCAAATCTTCTACAAAGACGATCCATTTGTCGTTTCCAAGGCATCCATGCAGTACGTCTATGATGAAACTGGCAAGAGATATCTTGATAACATTAGTAACGTTCAACATGGTATGTCAGAACTGAACTCCGATTATGATAAAGATTGTTTTAGTTGGACATTGTCATCCTACAGTAGTTGCTGCCATATCAAAACAGTTGGCTACCTCAACCTGCAACGTTCGCTTTGTTTCCAGTCGCTTGAATGACTGCGCCGAAGAAATACTCAAGACAATGCCAGGATTTGACACTGTTCTGTTTTGCAACTCTGGGTACTCATATTTGACATTTGAGTGATTGTTGATTATTGGTCAATTTTAGTTCGGAAGCAAATGATTTAGCTCTCCAACTCGCTCGTGATTTCACCAAGCACTCTGATGCTATTGTGATCGATCAGTAAGGAATTAGTGAATTTGAAAGAATTGTTAATTTGCTTCTGCAGTGCTTACCATGGTCATGTGACGACAACAATGCAAATGTCTCCTTATAAATTCGATCATGGATCAACTTTGAGACAACCTGAATGGGTTCATGTGGTTTGTAATCGTTCATCTTTCATTCTTATGAAAATCTTATATTTTCAGGCTCCATGTCCTGATGTTTATCGTGGTGAATTCCGATTATCTGACGATGACTTGTCAAATGAGCACAAATTAGCAGATGCAGCTGAGCATTATTCATCTTCTGTTAAGAATATCTTGACTGAAGTATTCTACATTAAGAATTTAATCGACCAAAAATTATCTTCCAGGTTGACAACAAAGGTCGCAAAGTAGCAGCTTATATTTCTGAAGCTTTGCAATCATGTGGTGGACAAGTTATTCCACCAAAAGGATATTTCCAACAAGTTGCAAAGTAGAACACCACTCTTCCGCATAGAGCATAGTTCATCAATTGTTTTAGATATGTTCGCGATCATGGTGGTCTTATGGTCATTGATGAAGTTCAAACAGGATACGGACGCGTGGGTAGCAGTTTCTGGGCTTATCAACTATCAGATGATGGTATTTCATTATTAAAAAATTTGATCAAAATAATATATATAAAGGATTCACTCCTGACATCGTAACAATGGGAAAACCCATGGGCAACGGATTTCCTGTGTCAGCGGTCGTGACAACGAAAAAAATTGCTGATGCACTTGGTGGGGAAGTAGGCTATTTTAATACTGTGGGTTTATATGAATATATGTCTATGATTAATTTAAATTGTTCAGTATGGAGGAAATCCGGTAGCTTGTGCTGCTGTTCTTTCTGTTATTTCTGTCATTCACAAAGAAAATTTACTTCAACATTCAGCTGATATGGGCGTAGAGTTTGAGAAACATCTGAATGCTTTAAAATCTAGACATGAATGTGTTGGAGATGTTCGGTAAGTTATTAATAGATTCAAGTTCAAATTTTGTTTTGTGAACGGTGTCATAACTGTTTTCACTTACAGAGGTGTTGGAATGTTCTGGGGAATCGATTTAGTGAAGGATCGCAAAACAAGAGAACCCAATTCTGAGTTGGCTTTAGCTTTAATATTGAAACTGAGAAAAGAATTCGACATCTTATTGAATGCTGATGGTCCACATACTAATATTTTAAAGTTCAAGCCACCTCTCTGTTACAATAAGGACAATTTAGAAGAGGTAAGAGACTGTCATTAAACCGCAAAGACTAAGCATTTCACTTCCAGACAATGAAGGCTCTAGAGACTGCTTTAACTGAAATGGGATTCTAAAGATTCGCATACTGTATCAGTATGGATTGGATACGAAAAATCAATCAATATTTAAAATAATTAATGTTTCCTACTACCTTCTCAAATGAGAATTAGCATATTTCTGATCATTGGCATAGCATCACGTATTTTCACGTGAAAGTTGGCGTGGGATATTTACCGTAACAAAAATAATTTAAATCATTTTGTGCGCGTTGAACGGTTGAATTTCCTCCGTCGTTTTATTCCGTTCCCTCTCTCGTCTCTCTCTCTCTCTCTACTTTACCCAACATCTTTCTCTTAATATTCCACGTTTCCTACCATATTATTTTAAAATTCAATTTTTCAATGTTTGTACACAATTGATTTGAATGGTGTCAGTTAGAGGAAGAATTTTATAATTCAATTTTTAGCATATCAGAAAGAAAGTTTTTAATTCATTAATTTCTTAACAAATAACTAAAACTCTTTTTAATTCTAAAAATAGACAAAATTTATAATATGGCTATTGTAAACAAAGTATATCCAGACATGAAAAGAGAAATGACGCGATAAATGAGAGAAGAGAGAGGCCTGAGTCTACCCTCCAAGATAAGCAGTTTGGACAAAATTATGTCACGGATGACTATTAATGTCTAGCGAGCTTAATTGGAATTAGAGAAAAAGCTTGAAGCACAAGCTTAAGAGTAAATGATTAAAATTTAAATTGGTATTGTTGCAGGAGTAGTGCTAGCAAGTGGTAAGGATGAAGAAGGCCGACACTCACACGAGGTACCTAGTTTCGTAGGAAAACAAAAGAGATAGCAGAAAATGAGAAGAATGAAAAGAGAAAATACCCATAAGATTCATTGAGATAAGGTAAATGAGTTATCTGATCACATAGTTTCTGAATAAACATTATAAAGTTGCTTCGATGTTCTTGTATTTAACCGAAACTCGGATGTTTGGAGATGCTGGAACTGATCTGCAGATGGCAACATCATGAAAATGAAAAAAAAAGTTGGAAAGCAAAAAACTTACGGAGTATTTGCTCTTTTCATATCTGAGCTCAATGACGACACGTAAACAGTTAGTAAGGGATATTGGCATAAATATAGAAAGTATAGGAATGCATCTGAGCAGACATAAAATACTAAAGTATCTTTACTTGATCTGAAAGAGTATATAATTTGCTAAAAATTGGAAAAATATTGAGTCTTACTGTAAACTATAAACTTCATCCAAATATTGAAGTGTGTAGTATGGAGCATTGAGAAGAACTTGAACTGTAGCCATCACAAGACATCTTCTAATTGCTCTTTGACGTCTTTGTGTACAAGACTGAAAAATAGAAAAGAATTTTTTTCAAATTTATAACTCCATTGTGAATTATACCAGAATGCTTTGACTTGATTGAATTTTCATGCTTTCACGAGCTTCCAATAGCCGACTCTGTTCTTTCTTACATACTGAATCAGCTGATATGACGGAGAAGCTGTAATAGACAAATATTAAAATGATAAATATAATGTGAATGACTGACGTTGATGAGCGACTACGCCATATGAGGACTCCTAAATCGAGAAAAAGTGTACATATGAATGGACAAGCGTAGGTTGAAACGGCTTCTAGTAAGGCGACCCATTTGTAACCCTCCGGACTTAAAAACACATTATGACGAATAACTAAAGAGAACTGAAATACTTTAATTTCTCTGTGTCACGTTCACATGTAGTTCCGATATATCCTTCATCTGTTCGAAATTGACGTTCAGTTACAAGTACAAGCGACCATGTCTAAATAAGGTAAACAATAGAATTAGATGAATGGATACGAACCTGGGTAATTGTGGCTAGTAGTAGACATGTTATTAATAGTTTCGGAGAACTTTGGATAAAGCTCATGTAACCTTTCTGACAACGTTTCAGTGGAAAGAGAAGATACACACAGCGTTGAAGATACATAACAAGCCAACACCAATTGGCAAAACAAGCCGCCACATTAGAGAGGAAAACCAAAATTTTGCATAAGACAGGTCCTGGAAGTTGAAATTTCAGTTATAAGGCATCAAAAAATGATATTAAGATTCAAACCATTCATGGAGATGAATAGAGATTGCGATATGATATCCACAAGTATAATAATTAGCGTTATGAAGTATGAAGCCATAATACTGATGAGAAATTGAAAATAATTTGATCTTCTAAGATTAAGGAGCAACAGAAAAGCCTGCAAGGAAGTATTTTTCAATCAGGACGGATGGATTTTTGAAAAAAAAAAGAAAAGAAATCTACCTTCGTCAATACTATTAAGCTGATAATGATGAATATCAAGCACATCCAGTATTGTATACGTGACACAAACAACCATATTCTATACGAATCATCTGAAGTTGTTGATGACATTATCTTCGACGTGACTGTTATGATTTCTTCATCCATTCTTTATATTACGCACGCTGTTCCTTATGTAGAATGCTGAAACAGAAATGCTAAAAGCTTAACGGATGAATACATGACGAAATATTATAAAATCTTTGAAATAAACATCCAACTTTAGATAGAAATATCTTATTTTTAATGCTAATTATGCTTGAATAGAATATACAAAGAGTTAACAAAGGGACATATGTAAATGGCAAGTAGTCGGATCTTCATTTTTGGGCTTTGATTAGGATTATCGCATATTTGGATTGAAAGATATATATCTAGATGTATATATCTATAAGATTGAATAGGAAATGAAATATATATTCCTAGAGAGATAGAGAGAGAGAAAGAGAGAGAGAGAGGGAGAGAGAGAGAGAGAGAATGGGAGAGAGAGAATGCAAAAGAGGAAATATTTAAAAAAAAACTATAAGGAATTTGTTTTTTTTCTCAAATTTGTTTTCTTCTTGGCATCTTTTCAATTAAAACAGCCCATCTTTCTTTTTTTTCATTTTTTTCTTTAATAAAACTATCTGTTTATCTTCTACTTCATATATAGATGCATGTAAACTATATTAATATAGTTAAGATTCACTTTTTCATCGAAACTTTTTGTTATAGTTAATAGGATGGATGAGGAAAGTATGAATGAGTGGTGTAAAATGAGAATATGATGATTCACTATATAGAGATGAATAAAAATGTTCACAAATTAAAAAGAATACGAACAAGCAGGAAATAGAACAATACTTCGAGAGTAATAGAGCGACAGAGAGAGGAAGGAAGAAGATAGAGAGAGAGAGAGAGAGAGAGAGAGAGGGAAAAACTGGAGTTAAAGGTTATGTGGGTGGAAAATGAGGACGAGGATTAGATAAGCACAACCATCTTGCACGACAACCATTTAGTACAAATGAATTTTGAAGATGCGTATGCGTGAGACACGTGAAACTAACGTGAAATCATGTTTATGCTTATAGGCATTACTATAATGAAGTTAAGGAGTTCAAATGAGTTAATAGAAAGTTTGAGTGCTTATTTGAGCTAATGAAAAAAGAGTTTTCTGAACTTCTGTATGACGCAGTCGACAACGTTTAATGAGAAGAATATGAAGGAAAAAAATAAAGAGAAGAAATTAAAGAGAGAGAGATAGATAGATTGATAGAGAGAGAGAAGGTTTTTAAAAATGAAATTATAAAAAGCAGTGAACTTTGAGCTTTCTGGATAAGTAGTGATCATTAAGTCTGAAAGTATAACTAATAGAAAAAGATTTTATCAGCTTAGATTCTCTTAAGCGATTATCACACACACATCCAAAGAAAATCTGAGGTTTTTTTATTCCAAGAAAAGTGGGCAGGTTAATTAAGCTTTTCCGGATACGTATTAAGGATGAAAAAAAAAGAAAAAAATCTTTTTCCTCTCATTTGATCACATCTGTGTGTCTCAAATAGATAGATTTGCTATTGTTTCGATAAAACTCTCATTCCTCATCAGAAGTTTGAGATGGAGAGATGATGAGGACAACGACGACGATGACGATGACAAAGACGACGATGCCAATGAGAATGGAAAAAAGGCAAAAAGAAGGAGGAGAGGTAGAGAGAGAGGAAGAGAGAAAGAGGGGGATAGATAGATAGCAGAAGAATGAAAATGAGAGGATAGGCGGGATAGCTTGCAAGCTAACCAGTTGATAGAGAGAGAGGAAGAAAGAAAAATATTTTTAAAATTCAATTATTTAAAAGTATTTTCTTATCCCCCCATTAATTTTAAATATTAAAGCTGGCTCGAAGAGAAAGAGATCGAAGTAGAGAGGGAGGGGGTTATATATGATTATTATTCTTATTCATATTTCACGTAGTTAAAAATTTAAATAAAAATCTGAAAAAATTTCAATCAGAAGTGAAAAATTTGAAAAATGTAATAAAATATTTGGTAATTACATTCAGTCAAATACTTGCTAAACGGGAGTTTGATAGATTAGATCGTTCAAAAGCCATATTGAGGGGAACAAACTTCTTTTTTCTTTTTTATTTCAGTTAGTTCCATGAAAAGAAAAATCATTCTACAATAAGAAAATTTTCACTGCAATGAATAAAGAGTACGCAATGTGTTTATCTCCTTTTCCAAACCCCTCCCTTCGTTTTCCTAAAAAGGAGTTCTTCTTTTGAAACTCTGAAATAGCATGACAGGCATGAGAGATAGGGAGTCGAAACATATCATTGGCCAATATGTGTGTGTGTGTCTGTGTTTGAAGATAATAAATGAGCAAAAATATCTTTTTTTTTTTGTTTCCTTTTTTTTCTTTTTTTTTCCTAACAAAGATTTTAAGTTTGAAGTCTTAACTGCTTATCTAAGTCATACAGGATGTTTCAGAATCTAATCTCGATGAGTATGCGTATACGTGGGGGAGACCAAGGAAACAGATGCAGCATTGTTTTATAATTTTTATTCAAAGAAAAACATGTGATCGATCAAATAGGCATCTAAACAAAATATTTTTGATCTTCGTTGATGATGAAGCTATGAAAGTGCACACGTAGCACGCGTCTCCATTCACACTTCATCACTGAAATCTTTTTTATATTTTCAAAAAAAATTTTGTTGAAAGACGTAATCCGCCCATTTCTTCGTTTTCGTCTCTTTTTTTTTAAACATTAGATTAGATTGATTAATTCTTGAAATCCCATGGATGAAAATGATTATCAATATTAAAAACTGGACAATTAATGCATCCTTTCTGCCATTTGAGCGTTTGTGACCGCGATACAATCTATTCAAGGAATATCATTCAGTTTCAAGCTTTTATACTCAATTCATACCTGATTTTCTCGCAATGGTTCCAAATTAGCACTTGCCAAACATGGAATGATGGATTGATATTCTAATAGAAAGAAGATGACGACATCAAAGATGATTCGTGTTAGCCAAAGTAGTACAGCTCCTCCAGCAATCATTTCCAATCGAATAACTGTATTTATATACTGAAACAGTTGAAAGCTGATTAAACGAGGAACATGTTTGTAGAAACCTCAAGTACATCACAATCTTCTTGAATATGTTTTCGAATATTTGAGTATAAGGACGAATTTCGAAGTATCAATCCGGCTCCGACAACAATCAGAACAGATATGAGTAAATGAAGAAAGATATGTGACCCATAACCAAGGAACTTATACAACTTCTTTTTCGTTATTTCCGGCTCATTGTGCATTCTTTGATAATTATTTAGTTAAAAGAGATTTCTCTTGTTAATCTTACTTTTCACTGAAAGCGATTTTACGCATTTTCCAACAGACAGCCGAATATAGTAAAAGGAGCATTGGAATCAAAAAGCAGATTAAAGAAATGCACACAACAAGAAGTGGACGTTGACAACCCGAATAAGAACAAACTGAAAGTGTTTTTTAAAACATTGAAGTAGTTCCTGCTTGCTTCGTTACCATCGTCTTTATTAGAATCCAAAATAACGGTTGTAAGTGGTGCATAGGCAGCAGCATACAATACGCTTATAAGCCATCCAAGAGCAACCAGAAAGGAAACACGACGAATTGAACAAATTGATTTAAAGCCATATGGCCGAGTGACACTTATCTTAAAAGAAAATCATTTGAAAAAGATAAGAGATTGATGAAGAAGAAGAAGAAAAAAAGAAATGAAAGAAGCAGTAGATGATGGAGAAGCATTTTTTACGCGCTTCATCCCTCAGCTTCACTTCATTCATCGTAAAAGAGATCAAAAGATAATTAACTGACCTGTCGAAGAATAATGACGAAAACATGAGATAAACTGAGTTGCAAAAATGAAAATGTTGAAATAAATAGAAACAGAGCAATAATTGTGTGTGAAGCTGATGTCTTGTTTGTAAAAAAGGAGCAAAAAGCAATTAAAGCCGAGGTAAATAGATCAGCAACTACACGACTGATGATAACACTGAAACATAAGCATTTAATGGTCATTAAATTAAATTTTTTTTT